GACGAAAACAAGCATTAGCAATGACGAAAGTTTTCTGATGACTTATTTTTCTGCGAAAACTTCGTTGAACTTCGGAGACATCATTAATATAAATAATTTTTATCGCCGTTGAATAAGAAATGTTTCTTTCACAAGAAATGTATAAAATTACACTTAAATTACAAATGTATTAGACTTACGGTAGCTAATTTACATACTGTACAAATGATAGTTAGCGTAAAATCTCCGTAGCGTAACACCACGCGGCGGAAAAAATATATATAATCATAATAAAGTTACAATAAATTAAGTTAATATATATTTATATATACAGTACCTAATTTATATATAATTAATATATAATTATATGTACAGTACCTAATTTATATATAATTTATATAATACTGTCCAAACGATAGAAATCTCTCCGTAGTTGGCGCTACAGACGGCGGGAAAGTAGTTCAGCTGCCCGATGACGTTTGAGGTAATTATAGGGGGTTTTTTACTGTTTTTTACGGATACCGGTCACAATTTTTTCGTAGTTTTATAGGAATCGTAATTATAGGGACCGTAATTATAGGGGGGTCGACTGTATACAATAATTTCATTTATAAGTACATGTAAATGATCTTGTATATTTCACATGTATAGTACACAAAAATTATTTATAAACAATTATTTTATCATATCTGTTTTATTTTCCTGAAAAAAATTAAGGAGCCCAAAAATGAAACCTTGCACTGGGCAAATGAAAAGCTAGTTATGACATTGATTAAGAGTTTACATTCTAAAACAACATTTTCTTTAAAATTGTCTGAATTTGTTGATAAAATTGTCTGAATTTGTTGATAAACAACATTTTCTTTAAAATTGTCTGAATTGTCTGAATTTGTATATTATACAATCTCAAAATAATTTTTGAGATTGTATAATATACACATTTTTTTTTCTATTGCAAAAAAAAAATTTTTTTGTATCACTTTAGATTTATTAAATTATAAAACTATGAGAATACTTTTATAAATATAAATCATCATAATTAATTTTTTTTACACTTTCATCATTAAATAGAATCTGAACAGGTAATAAACTAAGAATTACTTACTTTGCTGCCAATAGAAATGTCTTAGCATTAGTATATAAAATGAAGCAAAAATTTGCTCCAAATTTTGGTTCTGTTTTTTCAATAACAACATCTTGAAGAAAAACTTGTTTTTTAACTTTAAATTCCAAACTTGGTGATGCTACACGAACAGTATATAACAACATATCTGAAAACTATAAACAAAATTTATATTGGTATTTGATTTTATCTAAAGCTTGGAGATACTGTATTTCCTCAATTAAATCCCAGAAGTTTATTTTCAAAAAGTATTTATTCCCTTGGGTTTATTTGAAGACCCAGGGTTTTTTCATGGCTAGAATTTATTAAGTTTCGACTTATCACTAATCTTTTTAGTTCTTTTTCTTTACACTTCCAGTTCAAAATAGTTACTTTCGAACATTGATAAAAAATCAAAATGGATTTTGGATTAAAAATAATGGAAATGAGCAATACAAATGAAAACTCCTGAGCCTGTAAGGCAAAACTTCATTTTCTTGGATGATGAAACATTTTTGAATAAGTTTCGACTTATCACTAATCTTTTTAGTTCTTTTTCTTTACACTTCCAGTTCAAAATAGTTACTTTCGAACATTATACCACAAAATATCTTGAATCTTTTTTGTTTTCTTTATTTTTCTTGTTATTTTTATTCATTGAATGTGGATCACAACAGCTAGAAATATGTTTTTCATTGTAAATAAAACTGCCAAATAACAATATACCTTTTGCACTATTTGGCACCAGGGATTTTGGAAAGCACCTAGAAAGGAAATAAACTTTGCTGAATTGTAAAATTTGTACTGTCAAAATGTTATCATCTTTATATTTTAGTTTAAATTATATTTTATATCAATACTATTAACAAAAGCTAAAACAAATAAAAGACACTCTTATATTCAGTTTAACTGTAACTGAAGTCAATTCTACATTGAATGCCAAATTTTTTACACACATTTATTACAATGAAGTATCTGTTCTTTAAAATCAGTAAGAAATCTTAATCTATTAATGTTAATATTTTCAAAGCTCCAATACTTTATCTTCAAATGCTTTCAGAAGCATCTTAGCTTTGGTAACTTTGTAAAATAAATAAGATTTCTAAGTCTGCTAAAAGGTTTATTGTGTATCTGCTGTTTAACTATTAGTAACTTTTTCAGGAATCAATTCAAAATGATTTATTTCATGAACAGCATTCTTAATATATGTTAGAAAACTTTTTATTTTCAGTCACTTTATAAATACATTTCATTACAAAAGAGAACTGAATAATGTTTAAATTTTAAAGTGAATAATTTTGATTTTATATAAAAAAATTTATATACTTTTTATACTGGAAATTAAAAATAAAATGAAATTTAATTGATAAACTTAAAAACTATGATGATTTTTATTTTAAACATAGGTTATTAAATAATACCTTTGATAAATCAACTCCAGTTAATGCTTGTACTGTTGGTGGAAGTTGGCTAACTAATTTGTTTACTTCATGTGTAATACCACCTTCTCCGCCAACCAAGACAATTTCGTCAGTTTTAGCAAGAGGAGCAGCAACTTCAGCTGCAATCTAAACATAATATATGCATAAATATTAATTGCAATACCTGATTTAATATAATTAATCAAATAATCTAATATGATACAAGACATGTTAATAGTCTTTAAATCAAATAGTTTAAATTATTTTTAAAATATTCTAATTCATTATTTTATGAAATTAAACTCTTAATGAAATAAAACAAAAGTTAAAAAATATTTTATATATATAGTATTTACTTGTAGAAAAGGGCTGGCAAAATTACAATTTAATAAAAAGTAAAGACATGGCAAGAAAAATTGGACTTGTATCCAGATGTTTATCTGGATACAAGTCCAATTTTTCTTGCCATGTCTAATCACCAGGAACAACTATTTCCATTGCAAAGACAACCTTTCTTTAGAGGCTATGCCTCTGCACAAATATGTAAAATAGTTTAAAATGTCCACAGGTGACAATCCCAACAGGTGTTTTACTTTTTATTAAATATAGTATTTACATTTCTAAATTTTTTATAGATTATAAATAGTTTCCAAAATATATAGGATACATATTTTTACCTTAGGTAAGGAATCTAATATTAAACTTGTGATAGCTGCATCTCCATACTGTTTATAAGCAGCTGCTTTCATTCTCATTTGCTCAGCTTCTGCTTTACCAACTGCTTCAATTGCATAAGCTTCAGCTCCACCAATCATTTTAATTTTTTCTGCATCAGCTCTTGCAACCTCAACTGTCTGTGTTCTAAAATAAAAATTTGATTACTGTTTATGTTTCACAAAATGTTTGATATATATACACTAATGAAACATGCTTTATCTATCAAAACTGGAAATACTTTTAATTATATTAATAATAGTATGATGATGATTGCTATTACTTTTGCACAATATATTGATGCTTTTGAACAATATTTAAAAATAATAGAACAGATTCATTTTTAAATATTGTTCGGAAGCATCAATTTCTGTTATTCTTCTTCTTTTGATCTACTAAGTAAGCTGCAATATGAATAATTCTCACAATTCTAAAAAAAGGAAGTGTGATCANAAAAAATTGAAATAAAGTGATTAAACAAAAATTATTACAAATATCATAAATAACAAATGCATATATAGAAATATTTTTTGTAGGGGGGAAATGGTCTTCACAATTTGAAATCGATCGAACACACAGTAAAATGCTCGTATACATGCGCACCATCTATCGTAGGATAAATGTGCTATGCCAGAAACCTTTGCGGGAGTGTATTAAAATACTCCCCAAAGCTTCATGGCAATCGGATAAACGGTGTGGTAATGCATGAAGGACAGACACACAGACATACATTCATTTTTATATATATAGATATAAACAGTATTGAGAATTGTGTTATCTAGTAAATTACTGTGACATAACAATAAGTGAAAAAACAAAATAGACTGAAATACAACATGAAAATATTATCATAAATAAAGCTAATTTTTTTACATTTCAATTATTCTACAAGTTGGTCACAAAGTCTGTAGAAAATTAATCAATGTTCCATTTATTGTTTGTTTCAGAAAAAAGAACATGAATAATAGCTGATACAAATAACTACACCATGAAAGAATGTATAATCACTAGTTTATGAATTTATAAAAGGGAAAAAACATAGAAAGCAATGGAAGAGATGTATGCAAACTTCCAACAGAGATTTGGATAAGCGCCTCCTCCCAAACAACTTTTCTAGTTGAGTATAGATTTTTACAATACATAACACAAAGGATAACCAAAGTGGCAGATCCACCACCAGATGTAAAAAATGCAGCAAGGTTGAAAGGTTCAGTGCTGAGATCACCCCTGAAATCAATGCAGAAATATTCTTCAAAACTGAGTATACTCCAAATCACAATGCATAAACTTGCTCTTTGTGGTAAATAAAGTCTTATGCTTTTACCAGAAGTGTTCTTTTTGCTGTCATCCAAATCTCTGCTGAGTCTGTATGCATCTCTTCCATTGATTTCCCTGTTCTTTCCCTTTAATAAACCCAACAACTAGTGATTATACATTCTTTAATGGTATAGTTATAGTGGACCTCCATATAATGCATTAAAGGTCAATATTCATAAAATGTGCTACTAACTTTTTGGTTACTTTGCCATTACACCATACTCATAGTTCATTCATACTCCCCTTTGTATGGGGTTCAATATACTTGTATTAACCATTATTCATGTTCTAAAACTATCTTCTTGAATTACTGGAATTAATCAAACAAATCAGTAACCTTTAAACACTAATAACATAAATTTTATGAAAACTTCAAATGTTTTTGGCCTTATCCAAGGCCTTCTTCAGGTTTATAATGAAACAAATTCCAAAATGGAATGCTTACAACAAACATAAGTTATTCAAAAAATTATTTTTAAAAATTTTGAACAACACATAATGTATCAAANATGTTGTCTCTAATTATTAATTACCTTTTTGTCAAAATCCACAATGTAATTAATTTAAAATTAAGTTAATTTTAGACTGAAAATAATTTACCTTTTGGATATTAAAATTGAGCTATAATTTATTTTATGTTTATATGGTTACACTCTGAAATGTCAAAATAAAAATATTAAATGGTAAAAATATCAAAATTCTAAATGGGCACAAAGTTCTGCCATTTTTATAGAAAATTAATCACATGTTTTGTTTGCTATTTGTTTCAGAACATGAATAACAAATTAATAACCTTTATACACCAGTAACATAAATTTTATGAAAACTTCAAATGTTTTTGGCCTTATCCAAGGCCTTCTTCAGGTTTATAATGAAACAAATTCCAAAATGGAATGCTTACAACAAACATAAGTTATTCAAAAAATTATTTTTAAAAATTTTGAACAACACATAATGTATACAAAAATTTATATGGTAGATAAAATAAAATTCTTAAAAAATGCTTATATATGAGAGGGTTATGCATTTATGATTTTTATTTTATCTACCATATAAATTTTTGTATACATCGTGTTCGAAATTTTTAAAAATAATTTTTTGAATAACTTAT